ATATATATCACATAAATTTAAATATAGCTTCAAATATAGAAGTTTTACAAATAAAAATAAAAAAACTATTCTGTATAAAAATTCTTCATAAAATGATCCGCCGCGTAGTGCGGATATTTACCTAGTTCTCACAAATCAGCCTCTGATTCCTTCAATAGTGAGAGTTTTAGCTGGAATTGAAGTTGATAAGCATTTAATCTGTGGTTTCAGTTTGAAGAGGAAGGATCAAAGACTAAAATTTCTTTTTGTATGACAATCTGCATAAGTTATGTATTGACTGTAGATTGATGGATCATCAAAAACGTTGTGCTCATGTAAAAATGGCAACTGTGGATGTGCGACGTGATTGACGGCCAAATGCTTTCTTGGATATAATAATAGAAAACGAAAGGTATGTGCTATAAATTCTCAAGTGGTAAGTTGAGATGTGGGAAAAAAGTTTAACAAAATCAGTGATGAGGATTAATATTACAAATGATAATAATAGATCTGAGGTAAATGGTGTTGTCTCGAGATGCATATGGTTCTTCGGTGCAGAATGATGTGGCAAAAGTGTTTTGAGAAATACAATCAATTTTTCTAAGAAGATGTATATGGTGTCAAGTTTTGATCAAATCAAATTGTTGTAGAAAGTTTGATGTATTTTTGTAATGAAAAGTATAGATTATGTTTTGAGTTTTTTGAAGCGAGTACATCGAGAATTATAATATTAAACTAAAAGCCTAGAAGATGGTAAAGGAAGCAACGTAAGGCTTCATTAAATACTTTTCTTATTCAAAGGGAAACGTATGGAAATTATTTAGAGTATCTTTAAAATGAAAGATCTTGGTGAGATTGTAAATTCATTCAAGTGTGTTAATCACACTGAAGTAAAATGGTTCGGAATGAGGAACCGCCGAAGTAAGTATGAACATTCTTAGTTGGAAATTTCATGGGTTGGGGAATCCCTAGACAATTATATGTCCTGAGAGGTAGGCATATGTATTTCCTACGTATAATATTCCTCACAGAGACAAAAACTTCAAAAAAATAAATTAAATTCTAGTTGAGCTAGGGTTTGACTTTATTCATGTATTGTGCATATAAAAATTGAGTTAGAAAGTTGAGGATACTTTTTTGGAAAGCTATTGAATGATGAATTATGGTGGAGAAATATTGAATAATGATAAGAATGAGAGGAGCTGACAAGGCATCATTAAACGTTTAGGTCTATTAACGAGATGTTGGATAACTATGAGATACAAGAACTTGAAAATAATGGTAACTGGTTCACTTTGGGATCGATAAGAAATTATATGTGAATTTAGTGTAGGGTTGGATTATTATTTTGAGAATTTTGGCTGGTTTAATAATTTTCTAAGTCTCATCAGATTTTAAGAAGAAACTATGATATGATCTTCTAGGCTTTTAGTTTAATATTATACCGTAATCAAGAATTTTTGGAAGATCCTAATTTTAAGACCGTAATCAAGAATTTTTGGATTTCTTGGTGGCATGGAAGGGAAATACATGTACTCGATATAATGGCTCGTTGTAAGAAAAGTATTGGGATTTGGAAAATGGAAAACTTTAAAAATTCAAAGGTTAGAGCTGTCAAGTTACGGAAAATGTAACAAGATGAAGAAGTTTTAAGGATTCAGTGTTTTGGTTATGTGGGTTATTTGTTAAGGAAAATAGTTAAACCTTATAAAGATTAACAAATTAAATGGAGACATAAAGGTAAAGATAAATTATTTAGAGAAGGGGAGATAAATTTCATATTCTTTCATGCATGAGTTATAATTATGTGGATAAGAAATGCTTTCAATTTGTTGATATGATGAAGATGGGAATAAGCAAATGTTTTGGGCTCGATTGGAGGTAAAAGCTAGTTATTTCAGAAGATTGTTTACTTCATCTCTCCCTACAAATTTGAATGATATACTCATCGATTTTTGGTATTTTGTTACTGATTCAGTGAATCAAGTATTGATCAGAAGGTTGCAAAAGATGAAATAAAGGGGCACTAATTATGATAAATAGAGAGAAAACACTTTGCTCATATGATATGATAAGGTTCTTTGTACGAAACTATTAATATTTGGTCAGGGATAAAGATACAAAAGGGGTTTAAAATTTCTTTGAATTAGAAAAGCTACTCGCGGAACATAATTTTACGCATATTTACTTAATCTAAGGTGTTATGCAAAAATGATGACAACTCGTACGCATGTATCTTTCTGCAAAGTGTTTGTATAAGAATGTGTGGGAAGTGATGGTGCACATCATGCAATATCTTGTGGACACAATGGTTTCTCTTATACATTCAACTTTGTTGACCACTATGTTTATTTTCTATAATATTTTAAAGGGTTGAGGATCTATTTCCTCATGAGAAGTATCGTATAGCACCAAATGTTCACGAAACTATGATCCTATTATATTTATCCCCGAGAATAAAGTTCAAAACCTATTTTCCCACCAAACTAAATTTATAACGATATTTCCTAGATCAAAATCTAAAAACCCACAAAATCGATTTTTATTGGTTTATTGTTTGTAAACAAACCGTAAACCATGTAAGCCAATGACTAACTGGATTAAGATCCACGAATCTTTTTCAATTTGAATGTTGGGCCGAGTTACTGCTCTGATCCAGATCAAGGTTTGGTTGGGGTTTTTTATTTTTTCATGGTTTAGTTTTCTTGGTTTATTATATGAGAATGGAGATTTAAAATTCGGTTTTCAAAAATCATAACTAAACCAAATTTGGTGGAGAAATAAATTTCGAACTTTATTCTCGGGGGTAATTAGAACGAGTTCATAGTTCCCTGGACATTTGATGCTATACGATACTTCTTGTGGGGAAATAAATCGTCGACCCTATTTTAAAAGTAAGAAATTACACTTGGAGACACCTTTTGTTTTACATTTACACTAAAAAGTACATCATGTTTGTGAGACATTTTTTAAGTAAGAAAGACTAGAAAATGGAAATATTTTAATGCTAACTAAAATATTTACATTTTTCTTATCAACTTTCCCCTTTATCTAACTTCTTTTTATAGTAACTCAATTTATGTTATCTAATAATTCATTTTTTTTTCTTTTCTTCTCTCCCATCTTTTGTATTTAAATATCATATTTTATGTAATTGTTCTTTAACCTACGAAACACATTGAAAACAAACAAACATGAATTCTAGTTATTTTTCTGTAAGTTATAATTTATTTTTCTCGAGATTTCCAATGTGTTAAAGATAAATCTCAAGACGTTCATCGCTATATATTGTAATTGTTAATGCATGCACTCAGACAGTGAACCTTGCGGGAGCGCGTGACGGCTCGTTCGGGGTCCGATTGTGGCGTGGTTGGGATGTACGGCTTCGTCTTGACGAGTACAACACGATGGTGGCCTTGCATGCAGAAGATTATCAATGGTTAGGGAGATATGGTCGATTTACTAAACGGATCAAAACTTAACTAAAAACACAGGCGGTTTCCAGGATTACCTAGGCTAGGGGTCGGTGGTGACGGGTTGGTCGTGAACTCTGAACGTGGTGGCTCCGGTGACGAGCTCCGGCGAACCTCTCTCTACAAAACCACCAATCTCTCTCAAACTCTCTCTCTGAACTCATTTTTCTTGCATGAAATGAAGCTTTTGGGGAAGAAATAGGTTTTTATAGTCAATACCTTGGGCAATTTCGAATGGGCCTGAGGCTTGGGCCGAAAATGAGTAAGAATGTGAGTTTGGGTCATTACAATTCTCCCTCACTAATACGGAATTCGTCCCCAAATTCGAGTCAAGAGCCGATTGTCCGATAACATCTTGAAACAGCTCGGGAAAATCAATCCTCATCTGGAGCTCAGGCTCCCAGGTCTCCTCATGGATCCCGTCTCTCTCCCAACGAACCTTAACCATCATAGTCATCATTCCCTGATCCGCTCTCACTTGTCGATCCACAATCTCTACTGGTTGACAAAGTGCAAATAAATCTCTACCAAGGTGACTGGACGGCTACTGCAAAATGAGCTCTGGCTCTCTCACGACTTTCCTCAAAACTGACACATGAAACACGGCGTGGAAATCTGATAACTCTGCTGCTAAACCCAATCTGTAGGAAACTGCTCCAATCCGCTCCAAAATAGGAAATGGTCCCATATATCTCGGTTTAAGCTTCTTCAGCTTCCGAGTAGTAGATCCTGAAATGTCCTCATCTTCAGATATACCAAATCACCAATCTGAAACTCCAAATCCTTATACTACAAGAAAAAAGAGTATTTATAGTGGAGTAGGATATCGTTTATGCTATGTTTGATGTATCAATAAGTTTCGATAGCGTTTGTTTAATTTGAAACGCTATCTTTTAATGGGGCGAATTTTCATGTATTTTGATACGTGTCTTAGATAGCACTTTAGATTAGAAATGCTATGTATTAATTAGGCGAAATAATTTTTTTCATTTGCCCGGGCAAAGCTTCATTCCCCTCATATCCCTAATATTTTCACTCTTCTTTCACTCTATCTATGTTTCTCATCTTATCGCGGCCATCCTCTCTTTCCCTCACCGCCTTCACTCCTCACTTCCTCGCCTCACCGTCAGATCTGCCGTCACCTTCGTTGGTTACAGAGAAGCAGCAGTTCCGTGAGCGCTTTGAATTCACCAATTCATCCTCTCGGGAGAAATCAACAAGAAGAAAGAAGGATCCAAAATTCATCAAGAGAACATCTCATGGTCGTAAGTTTCAGGTGACACATAATTCTCCAAGAACTGCTTGCTAGTTTCTAAGTCTGGCCAGAAGACAATGATCATGGTTTGTTCTCTCATCTTCCATTTCTCAATTTGATAATCTAATACTTATCCAAATCTTAGAAACACCAAAGTCTCTGTCTTTGCTCTGTTCTCGGCTAAAGTTTATCTTTTTGCCCTGTTTTTGGCTAAAGTTTGTCTGGTTCCATGAATGTTTGGTTGTCTTTTTTTCTTTTGATTAACTTAACTGGCTTTGTGTGTGTGATTTGGAATGTTGCCACTTGACAAGATGAGAGAAAAGTTGAAATCATATGTTGCTCGTAACAACTTGGATGGGCTTGCTGATGCTGTGAAGGAACTATATGAACTTTACTGTATCTCAGGAGGATCCAAGCAGATGGAGAAGATCTCAGATACCAGTTATGTAGTGGCTGAAGAAGCAACTGATAATGATGTTCAGGTTCACTCTACACTCTTGTAGATTCGAAGATTCACATCAGAGATCATAAAAGAGGATGCTGTTTAGCAAGATTCAGCTGTCATAGAAGAAGCCAAGGAGGAAGAGGTTTCAGAAAGTATCCAGCAAGAAAGATCTAGGAGGTCTCTGGTTGTAATCAATGTGAACCAAACTGATGTTCCAGAGGTTGTTGTTCAAGGATCAGAAGATGGAGTTCTAATGGTGACTGTTGCTGCTCAACCTTCCGAGAAGAAACATGCAAATAGGAAGGAGACAATTTCTAAGAACGACCTCCCCGTGAAGACAAAGAAAGCAGTAGCGACCAACTCTGTTAATCCAAGAATAGTTCCACAAAACAAGGACAACAAGTCACAGAAGAAAGTTCGGGAAAGGGTCACTAAGTCAAGGACTAAGAAAGTTCAAGAAGAGACAAAGAAGTCCACCAAGAAACCTACTGCTAAAGAAGGTGATACATTGTCTTTGAAAAGCATGTGTTATTCATTTGACTGATGATGCTAAATGTTATTTTGTATAGGTGAAGTTAAATCTCTGAAGCAAATGGAGAACAAAGAAAACTCTGTGAGTAAAATTTATTTGGTGCAGAATATCAAATCGCTTCTATATCTAAAAGAGACTAACACAAGCTTGCTGCTCACCGCAGGTTGTTGTTGGTGCAGGAGAAGAGATCCAGGTTTGAAGGAAGAACAGAGAAGCGTTTCTTCACATCTCAATCAAATCTTTCTAGACTTTCTTTAAGTAATATATGTCAGGGAAACTTTACATTTTGTTTTGTGACAAAGTTTAGAATGAGTACATGATTAATCTTTAAATATATAGTGAATTTTTGTTTAGGGATATGGATTAAGCTCGAGGAGAACTAAGGAAAATTTCAAAACGAAAACAGCCATTACAATTGAGTAAATCTTATACCCTAAACCCCAAACTTTTATATCTAAACTTCAAACACTAAATCTAAATCTATGCTCTAAATCTATACTCCAAATCTTATACCCTAAACCCTAAATTTAAACCCTAAACCCCAAAATTAAACCCTGCATATAAAGTCTTTAGTCTAGTCTAATATTTTTCACATCAAGTCTTAAATTTAAAAGATCCCAATTTTATTCTATCCAATACTTACACAATTTAATTTTAAAATTTTAACCTTTAATTTTATATATCTAAATTATAAATGTTACATATATATATATATATATATATACCTCAAATCATGTATTATCATAACTTTACAGCTCAAAACATTAAACTATATCCCATATTTCAAATGCTATATCACATAAATTAACTTAAATGAGTTTTAATAGTGAAAGCAAAATGTAAATCATAATTATGTATACAACCCTACATATACCCATTAGCCTTATATTATATTCCAAACTCTATACAAAAAGTATTAAATCATAACATTTTAAATTTATAACACTTATTTTATACTAGATTATGAAGTTATACAAACTATAAAATTTAAATAAAATCGGTATATTCATAATATAACTTCAATTCCTAAACTCCAAACCACAAACCTCATATTGACCTATATTCACATAAAGCATTAAATTTAAAATTTTTAATCAATCACACAATTTGAAAATTTAAATATAAAATACAGATTAAAATTTTAAAATTATGATATCAAATTATTTAATATTTAAATAATTTTACAATAATTATAATAAAAAAGAAAATAATTTGTATTGTTTTTTTTTAACCATTGATTGATTTTTAAATCAAAGGTCCAAAATCATTCTCTTATCTATCTTCCCTTGTTTTCTATTGGTTTGGTGCGGATCACCCTCTGCACCATTAGATAATATTGAATAAGAGCTTCAGATTTGTTTCTTTATTTCCAATTATTTTCGAACAGATCGCGTTAGATAGAGAGAGAGAGAGGTCAAAGAAAAAAAAGAGAGTTTTAATAGGTAACTCGTGGTCGACCTCGGCCTCCTTATCTTCTTCCTCGTCAGCCTCGAGATGGATCTGATATCTCTCCGCCGCACCAGTGGAAATCTGATAGATTAAGGTTCTCTGATCATATTAACTTGTTCGATTTAAAGATTTCATGATTTGGTTGTAGAATCCTAGTTTTGACCCTTTTGCTCTCACCTCTCTTGTTTGATCTTCCTGACGCGATCTTTCATTTTTTTTTTTTTGCGGATGAGTTAAAAGGATGGATAAGCTCATGGTTCTCTGTTTGTTATCAGACATGTTAGTTAATCCAGTTCTACTGGTGAAATGTATGGTCTTTTTTTTTTTTTTGATATTTTCTGCAGGTAACCTTGTGAGTTCATGACAATGGTGGTCACAGATGCTGAAGGTCCTTTTGTTGGGGAGATTTCTTTTGGAACTTTACTGCAAAATTTGCAAGTAAATCTCTCAACCACACCTTTCTTTTTTTTTACCGACATTGCAGGTTATGAAGAACACGTGGTGTTGATATGGCAGAGGACGCTTGTGGTGGTGGTAGAGATGGAGCCGGATATGGAGACGTAGGAAGACATCGAGAAGAAAGAGGCAAAGGAGGAAGGAGGCGGCATCAGGATATTAGGTTTAGGGTTAATTAGGAAAGAAGAAGGTTTAGGTTAATTATCATTTGGTTTAATGTTTTAATTTGTTTCTGGTTTAATGTATTCTTTAATTATTTGTGTGTTGCATTAAATTAATAAATAAAATTTCATTTTTAATTATGAATTAATTTTTGATTTCATTTGTATTATTTTCAAAATAAAAATATTAAAGTAATTTTGTCTTAAACGAAATGAAACAATTACATTTTAGAAATGCAATGAAAAATTCAAATATTGCTATTGATAGAACACTACAATAGTAGTTAAAACATGCTATAATAAAATTTTAAAATTGCTATAGTAAAAATGTTATAATAACATTTTAGAGACGCTATTAAAAAAATTACAATTGCATAAATGAAAACACTATTACTAAAATAATATGAATAGCGGATAACAAAACCGCTATCTAATGGACCAGACCTGTTATCGCGGGCGATATTGGAGGGCTTTTTACAACGCTATGGTATCGTATGATAGCGTTTTACGGGTGCTATTAAAACACTTATTTCTTGTAGTGTTACGCCGCTTATCTGCATAACTCTTCTGACGATCATGGGCTTCCTTAAGCCGTCTCTTGAGCATCTCAACTTGCTCTACCGTCTCTTGAACCATTGCTGGTTCTATCTCACGTCGCTCCCCCACTTCTGTCCAACAAAGCTAGGTACGAAAAGGTATACCATAAAGAGCCTCGTATGGTGCCATCTTAATACTCGAATGATAACTGTTGTTGTAGGCAAACTCTGCTAGGGGTAGGTACCTCAACCAACTACCTTCCCAATCCAAAGTACAAGCTCTGAGCATATCCTCCAATATCTGAATAGTCCTCTCTGACTGGCCATATGTCTGTGGGTGGTATGCGGTACTCATGTGGACGTTGGTCCCAAGCGCCTCCTGAAATGCTCTCCAAAATGCAGATGTGAACTTTACATCCCGATCCGATACAATGCTGGCATGTACCCCGTGCAGTCTAACAATCTCACTGATATACATCTCCGTCAACTGCTCAGCTTTGTCTTTCTTCTTAACTGCGAGGAAATGAGCTGACTTGGTGAGCCTATCCACTATTACCCATATGACATTCTTCCCTCCTGTGGTGGTTGGAAACCCCGTCACAAAATCCATAGTCACCATGTCCCATTTCCACTCTGGAAAAGGAAGGTTTTGTAATAACCTGCTAGGCACCTGATGTTCTGCCTTAACCATCTGACAAGTCTGACACCGCGATACAAAAGTAGCGACATCCCTCTTCATACCAGGCCAATGATAGTAACGCTTTAGATCTCTGTACATCTTGGTGTTTCCTGGATGAATAGAGAAACTCGAGTGATGTGCTTGCTGCAAGATTTCCTTTCTCAACAACTCATTATTTGGCACGCAAACTCGGTTTCGGAACTTAAACATCCCACTCAAAGCTGTATGATCTCGATCTCAATCTACTTACACAAGGCCTCATCAATATCCTGAGCTATGCGTATCCTCCATAGTAAATCTGCTTGCTCTACTGCTTCGAGACCAGCTGCATCTCCATCTATCATGGTCGCAGACAATCTGAGATTAGCGAGTATACCAGTAAACTCATGAACCTCTTTGGTTCCTAAAACATCGCTCCTGCGCCTTCTCAAAGCATCTGCCACCTGAGTAGCTTTACTCGGGTGATAAGCAATATCAAACTGTAATCTGCCAACAACTCAATTCATCTGCGATGCCTTAATTTCAAGTCCGTCTGAGTGAAGATGTACTTCAAACTCTTGTGGTCCGTGAAAATCTTCACCTTCTCACCATACAAATACGATCTCCAGATTTTCAACGCAAACACAAATGCTGCTAACTCCAAGTCGTGCGTAAGATAATTAGCCTCGTGAGGTCTCAACTGACGTGATGCATAAGCAATGACTTGACCTTCCTGCATCAATACACAACTCAATCCAGTGCCCGATGCATCAGTGTAAACCTCATATGGTATCCCAAGCTTCGGAAGTACCAACACTGGCGTCTACGTCAGTTGTCGTTTCAACTCCGTGAAACTTTTAGAGCAATCATCTGTCAAATCAAACTTGACGTCTTTTCCCGTTAGTCTCGTCATCGGCTTTGCAGTGCTGGCAAAATCCTTGACGAACTTCCTGTAGTACCCAGCCAAACCGAGAAAAATGCTAATCTTTGTGGCACTCCTAGGTGTTGGCCACTCTGAAATAACAACAATCTTCTCGGGATCTACGGAAACTCCTTCTTCTGAAACCACATGACCAAGAAACCCAATTTTCCTCTGCCAGAAGCTGCACTTGCTCAACTTAGTAATCAACTGATGCTCTCTCACCTTCCCCAATACAATCCGCAAATGCTCTGCATGCTCCTCTCTGCTCCGAGAATAAACCAAGATATCATCGATGAACACGATCACACACTTATCCAAATGCTCACGAAACATGGAAACAATAGAAACTCCTTGGTATATCTGCATCCCATGAAAAATGATACTTCCTTCCGGTCTAGGAATACTAACTCTTTCCTTTGGGCAATCCAAGATTACGTAATGTCGCGTCAACCAATCCATCCCAAGTATGACATCGTACAAGCTCATCTCCATCTCCGTCAAATCTCCGAGTAAATCAGCTTCTCCAAGCATAACTGGTACGTCGCGATGAATACCAACTGCTCCTAACTTCTCAATGCCGGCGGTCTGAATCTGCTTAGCCTTCGGTTCAAAGATACTTTGAAAAGACCAAGACTTCACTACGCGTGGACTCACAAATATGTGAGAAGCTCTCGTGTCGAACAACGTGTGAGCTGGCTCACCTCCAACTAAAACCGATCCTACACGAAATTTTTACTAACTACACATGATGACCAAGAAATCAAAATACTCAAACATAACCAAATATTATAAAGATACATACCCGATATCGGATCTTCTCGGTCTCATGTAGTAAACACACTTGGAGCGATGGCTAAACGCTTGGCTGGTGGTGGAAGTGCTGCATTCTCCCTCCACGAACAATCTCTGAGAATGTGACCAGGCTGGTGACACCCATAACAATTCCAAACTGTCGTTGTCGGTGTTGCAGCCTGTCTAGCTGGAGCCGCATCCACGGGCCTAACCCGACAATCCTTT